CCTGGCGTGATATGGTTCATGGGGTCACGAAGAGTCGGACATGACTTAACGACTGAACAACAACAAAATATCAATTGAATTCAAGTCTTTGGGATCAGATGGATTTCATGACATGGGAAGTGCCAGAAGATTGGAGGAGAGCCAATTATTAGTATTTATTAATATTTATTTAAATGTATTGGCTGCCCAATTTAAAAGATTTCCCATTTTTTTTAAAAAAAAGAAACTACAGACCAATCAGTTTGCTATCAGCACCTGGGAAAATCCTAGAAAAGACAGTCAAGCAATGAGTTTGCAAGCATTTAGAAAAGAACAGATGATTACTAGAAGCCAGCATGGATTTGTTCAAAACAGATTGTGCTAGACAAATCTTACTGCTTTCTTTTGATAAAGTGATAGACTCACATGTCCCCACTGCTTTGTGAAGCTGCACTGGTTACCAGTTAGCTTCTGGTGCAATTCAAGGTGCTGGTTATTATCTATAAAGCCCTTCATGGTATGGGGCTCCAGTTATTTCTTCCTGTCTGGTGAGGTCAGGTGGGGTGGGTCTGCTCTGGGTCCCGTCGATTAAACCATGCCACCTTGCAGGACCAGGACGTGTGCATTCTCACGGCACTGCTTTCTGGAATGACACTCTCCCAGAAATTTGCACACCTCCCACCCAAATGACATTCAGAAAGTCATTAAAAACTTGGTTGTTCTCCCAGGCCTTGAGATAGGATGGGTGCAGAGTCCCTGTGGCTTTGGTTTTTTATTGGTAGAGCATCGTGTTCCAGTCAGTTTGGGGTTGGTTTGTTTTCCTGTATATGTTGGAGTTTCAATTGTAAGCTGCCCAGAGACTTTAAGGGATCGGGTGGCCTCAAAATTTAATGAATTAAATAAAGTGACTAGATTTATAAATAAATAAATATATAAATAAATCTAGTGACTAGATAGAGAACCAGGTTGGTGTAGTGGTTAAGGCATCTGGCTAGAGACCAGGGGACCCTAAGTTCTAATCCCACCTTAGGCACAAAGCCAGTTGGGTGACTTTGGGCCAGTCACTCTCTCTCAGCCCTAGGAAGGAGGCAATGGCAAGCCACTTCTGAAAAACCTTGCCAAGAAAACTACAGGGACTTGTCCAGGCAGTCACCAGGAGAACACTGACTTGAAGTCACACACACACAAATGATTAGCAGGCCAAGGGAATGCTGTGGATGTAGTGTACTTAGCCTTCAGTAAGGCATTTAAGTTGACCATAGCCTCCCTCTTGATAAAATGGAACAGTGAATATTGAATGGTTCCAATTCCAGATGGATTTGCATTTGGTTGAACTCCTATACCATGCATGAGGTCCTTAATAGATTTATGTCTACATGGAGGGAGAGAGGCAGTGGGATACTCCAGGGCTTTGTCCTGGACCCAGCAAGCTAGGCAAGCTCCAGGTCCCATCCTTGAAACAATGTCCTCTAATGGGACAGAGAAGGAAGCCTGCCTTCTGTGTTGTGATACCTGCCGTCTGGAATGGTCTCTTCTCCAAGGTTTGCATTGCCCTGACTCTGCTGTCCTTTGAGCGAGTCTTGAAGACCTGGCTCTTTCTCCCAGACCTGGGATAAATGGTTTCCCTTGGATGTCTTACACTATCAGGCCTTGTCCTTTTCTGTTGTTTATTAGGTCATACCATCTTACTGGGGACTTTTGACTGATCGCTTTTATCTCAAGCCACCCAGAGTTGATTGAGTTGGGCAGGTCCGTAAATTTGATTTTAAAAATAAATGCATAAAATGCCGTGTAGCTGTTTTACTTCGTTATTTCTCAAAATGAGTCACTTTCAAAGTGTGACAAAAACCAAAGGAGATTTATATTGCTACATTGGATTCACAGTTGAAAGTTAGAAAATTGGCACAGAATGGTGGCCATTTTCAAATGATAATTTCTCACTATCCACACTCACTTCTTTTTCCAGCTACCCCTGCCAGGTTGTTGTCATCTAATTTCAGTCTCTGTGACTTCTGAGTTAATCAACATGTACTGTGGGCAGTCAGGCCCCAAACTAAATCCTATTTTTTGCACTTTCCCAGAAGGCAAGTAAGCTAATAGGTTTACTGAGAAGGCTGCAATATACGAGTGATGAATTGCATTTGCCATGGTGGGGCAAAAATTGTGTATGCTTGATTGATATTAATAGCAAATAAATGGTGTTTGCACAGTATGTGAAAACAGACTATAAGTATAAACCCCTCTTATTTTTATTATAACTCCAATAAATCAATTTTAAATTGCAAGGCATTTGTAAAAGAATTCCTTATGCACAAAGAAACTTATTTCCTAAGGAATGAGGAAATCAATGAATTCTGTGTACACTACACCACCTACTGAACAGATAAAAGAATTGCTGTTAGCTCTTTCCCAAAATTGGATTAGATTTGCTTTAATTCTTCTAGTTAAGTCTCAATCCTGCCACCATTTAAGTTTATAGAGGAGGCATCCTCTAGCTAGGGCCAATGTGGGGGACCTTTCATCAGGAAAGGCCACAATCTGCTGGTGGTTGCATATCTAATAGAATCAAAGTTGGTGGTGGACAAGGGCCATAATTTGTTCCCTACCCAGCAAGCAATTGCAGGAGAAGAGAGATAATTTCTGTCAATAGCCTTTGCTAAGCCCTCAGAGGTTGTTTTTAATCAGACCAAGGAACACCAGTTTTCCACCTTTGGTATAGGAGAGAACTATAGATCATCAAAGTACAAACTGATCCTGGAGGGGAAAAGGGGACACATTTCAGGTGAGAACTCCATAGCAGCAAGGGATTGAACTTCTCAAATAGGGCTGATAATTCCATTTGGCTTCTTGTTGGCGAATCAGAAGCTGCTCACTTCCAGCTTCTGTAAATCAGTTCCATGGAAGAGCACATGCTCTGTTTGCAGAGTGGTTCAAATTAAGTTCCCAGAATCTGTAACAGACAGCTGAGAAAATTCTCATTGTCTGAAACTCTAAAAAGCTGTTGGCTGTAAGGACACAACTGAGCTAAATAATATCCACCAGAAATTTCGTATTTTTTTTTTTTTTAAAGTTTATAGAATAATAATTTCATCAAAAGATGACACTCTGGCTAGATTTTTCTCTTTCAAAGGTAACAGTACTTTACTTAAATGGTAAATCATAAGGTACATTGGTGCAGCAACTTACATACCCCCCCTCTGAAGTAGATGAATCAATCTTCATTTATTTTAGGGAGCTGTTAATTAAACAGAAAAAGATATTAGGATAATGGTACTATGATGGCTGATATATTCTCCATTATCTCCATTTTACTACCTGGAACTTTTTGCAGCTTTTCTTGATCAAAAGTGAAGTCTACTTGATTAGTGATTCAACACTAATCACTAATCATTAGCAGAGCATTTCTATGGGACTAAGCAATAGGTTTTCGTTGTCTCAGCAAAGGATACAAATGCTATCAGTTACATTCCTAACTTGGATCCAATGCTGTTTAATTTCCAGAAAAACATACCTCCTGACCTCTGATCTCCTCACCCCTGTTCTAGAAGACTAAGATACCCTATAGGGCAGGTTTTGAAAGCACAAAAGGAGAAAAGCAGTAGGAAATCAAATCATAGCACCAGGGAGTATCTCCTGCCTTTGTTTCACTTGTACTTTGAAAGTTCTAGTTGAATATGGTATTTAGTCTTCTGGCCTTAACGCACCCACTATTCTCTGGGCCTATCCTACCTGTCTGAAAGGAGGGAAATAAGGCTTCTGGCTTCCATATACTTGATTAAATCATGACATGCTTTAAATTCTCCACCATTTCATTCAGAGGTCACACATGATTGTAATGGGAGTCAGGTGGCGTATAAATTTAATAAATTGGTATTATTATTATTAACCTTGATAATAAAATTGTTCTCTCTCTTCAATACAATTTGAGAATCACTGATCTAAGTTTTGTAAGACAAGGGAAGACAATACTAGGACTCTCGCTGCCATCAAATGTATCGTATTCCAGAAGTGAAAAAGTATATATCGTATTTGAACCTGCATTAAAGATTTTGAACCTGAAAACCCCGATTCCAAGTTTGGAATGCCAATCTTGAGTACAAAACAACCATTTCAAGTATCAGGCACTCTGAAACCTTGAAACCATTCTATTTCAAGTGCAAAATATCCTACTTTGATCCAAAACACCTTCAAAATGCTTGAGACAATCTTGTATCACATTTGGGGAAGGTGCGTTTCATGCTCAGGATGGATATTTTCAACTTGAAATGGTTTGAATTTGAATGTTTTCACATCCCTACAACATACAGTTGTAGTGTCTGACAGCTATGCCTTGCTTTTTATGGCAACCAGATACAAACAAGAGTGGAAATTTATTTTTCTGCTATCTTTCCCACATTAGGAAAAGCAAAATTTCTATGTCACATCCTTAAGCAAAATAATAAGGGGGGGGGAACCCCCTATAGAGCAATAGCAGCAAAACAATTCAATTTAAAAAAGAAAAATGAGTTGGGAGAACAAGTATCATCAAGTAAGTGCTCACATACTCAATCCAGCTTCATAAATACTTCTGTAAAGGATTCCACTCCATAGAAAGAAGAAATACTACTTTTGTAATATCAGGTTTTTTTACGCCCATAGGCTACAGCCACACTGATTATGCTGTAGATGAAAAATCCGTTCCAGTGGGACATAAATTTTCCAAGTACTCCAAATGAACATCCAAGGTGCCATATACCAAATGCAGGACATTCAAGACCTTCTCTTGTATGAACTCAACTTGTTCTGCAGGGCAGTAGTCATCCAAGCTGGACCTGGGAACACCAACAGTAATGTTTTAAATTTGTTTCAAAGGAGCAATGTTTCCTGCTGATCTTCAAGGGTATAGTTTCATCCCTCTTATTTTTCCCCTTACTTTTCGTAATTCCAGCTTTATACAAATGTTCCTTATTCCCCCACATAGCTTAGCCTGCAATGATTAAAAAAAAAAAACCTTCTGTCCCACTGATCTTCTCAATGGGGAAGCTCAGACAAGTTTTCAAAGAATCTCAGGGTGCCCTGGTCTAAATGGAAATGCTAGCACAGTGTTGTCCAAACTTGGCCACTTTAAGATGAGTGGACTTCAACTCCCAGAATTCCCCAGCCAGCAT